TCGTCTTATTTAATTTTGTTTTTAACTGAATGCACGTTGTGGGCAGGCTCTAAAAGGAGATGCCAAGAATCCTCGGCATTCTTAAACGTCAAGAATGAGGTAATAATTGAATTCTTTACACTTTACTTGCAAACACATTTTATACGCCGTCATCAGTTTTAGTTGGTGAAATATTGAATGTTGAAGATGTTTTTCTGCATTAAAACTTGAAAGAAACCGTTATCAGCATATTAAGTACGGGCTTTAACTTTATTTCTCTTGATTGTTATTATACTTGAAGCAATGTTGCGCAATCGAAATTTTATTTGAATTTTCAGTCCGAATTTTACTAAACGCCGAAATGCCGGCAAGTGAATAGAAAAATGTCAACTTATTTGAGAAAATCTATTTTTTTATTTATTGTCACCATTACCTTGAGGAAGGAGGAAGAATAAATTATCCGAGCTACAAGTGGAACTGATTAAGTCCTCTGTACCGAGAAATGTCGAAACAGAAAGCGTGGTCATTACGAAAAGTCTTGACATTATTTCCATTAGTGGCTCAATAAATGGTTTAGTGAAACAATATGCATTCAATAAAGATGGTAAAATAATAAATTGAATTGAGAAAACAATCAATAAAAATATAAAAGTGAAAATTAGGTCTTTGACAGATTCGTTTGTCAGATGAATGGATTGACCCCACGAAATGTCTACGTCCGGTTCTACCAGACCGAAAATAACATTCGTATTCAATTATTTGGCCTACAACCAATATTTAAGACAGCTTCATTATGATATTAGTAATGAAACGATCTCACACCCGTTCGCGCTTGCCAACATAATGTTCATCGCTTTTGCAGACCGATGACCTTTAAAAATGCCATTAAAGGTCGGACCTTTATCCATGCAAAAGGGCTGATCAACACCCTGAACTATTGGTATTGAGATACTGGTTTTCTTTAAATTAAATTTATTTATTTTTAGAAAAACGAACGTTTAAAGATGCAGGCACGTCAGTAGTTCGTGTAGAATGGGAAAATGACCTCGGGGAAAAGGACTGCAGCAGTGAGTCGACGAATTTTCAAAGTAGCGGCACGGGCCTTGGAAGGATGGTTCAAGGCAAGGATCCATTGGGGCATGGATGTTTTAAAAAAAGTCTCTATCGATCTCAATGAACTGAGAATTTTCAGTACACTAGTTTATTTCATTATTACAAAAATTACTTGGTCGACTTACAAACGATACATATACAGTCGAAGTTTAAAAAAAAATTATTGTTTTACAAAGTATATATTTATATTCATCATTTACTTTTAAATAAGGCAATTTTATCTCTATTTATAGGCGTCGAGATTTACCTTTCTTCCACAAAAACTTCCTTAATTCTAGCCTCTGATCTGATTTAGTCCTTTCTGAAATATAACTTTCAGTTAACCCTAACCATCCCTAAAACGGGCAGCATTCTCTAGGATTAGATATTCAACATTTATACTTTTACTTTATCCTTCCTGCAGTACCTGCTATTGACGATGTGCATGGGCTGTTACATCCACACCGCCCCCAGGTCTGGGTCTTGCATTGTCGCCCAGAAGTCCCCACACACACCTCAGGCACCACACACACCTCAGGCACCACACCCGAGTGCCAGCCGCTGGCCACAGGTCCCACCTCTTTATTTCACCTCATAAATCAGATTTTACCAATCAATTCTGTTTCCCTTAAAAATTTAAATAATCTTGATGTTGTTGTTTCCCTGTCATTTAGCAATTCAGGTAGAGAGGCGGGCAACCCATTGCTTATGCGTTCCCTTTTGTATATCTTACATTCTAACAGTATGTGCTTGATTGTGGTTAAAACTCCACATGTCACGCACATAGGTGGAGGTTCGCGTGCCATTAAATACCCGTGTGTAATTCGTGTATGCCCTATCCTGAGTCTCGCAAGTACACATTCTTCTTTTCTAGACAGTCTAGCTGAGGTGGTCCATAGTCCTATGTCCGCTTTAACGGCTCTTAGTTTGTTTTCTCTAATATTGAACCATTCTAGTTGCCATTTTTCTTTTGTTTTGGCCTTCACATGCGTTACGAAGTCTTCTTGCGGCACCTTACTTATTTTATGACCTTCTCTCTGGGCACTTCTTGCCGCTTTGTCTGCTTCAACATTTCCCGCAGTGTCCTGGTATCCTTTTCCTTTAAAAAGATATTAAAACATTACCCAAAGTAGGGGAAGTATATATGTGTTTTGCGACCCAAACTGTTTCTCAATACTGCTGGCTTTTTCGATGAACCTCTGTTTAAAATGTACACCGTGTACGCTGACTTCATTCATCTTCAACCAGTGGCAAGCACCGGCTTCTTTTTCTCAATCTATTACTTTCAGATATACCGAAGAACTTCAGAGTGTGCAATCAAGAGGGGATAACATCATAGTAAACAGCTTTAATGCCGCAATAAAATGTTCAACAATTATGTGCAAAAGTGATGTTTTTGAAAATAAAAGATTTCTATAATACACAATAACCAAATTATATAAAAAAGGTATTCATTATAATTTTTTGGGGGGCTTATCGAAAAGACAGGTGGGTACATAAAACGATATCAAAATTTTTCACAGTCAACTTTTTATGGAGCAATGTAATTTATTTTAATTAATCTTTATATAAGGTATTGGTTGAAATGAAGAAGTTAGTGTCACGAGCGGGATTTGAACCCACGACCTTCCGCCAAATACGCCGCTGCTTTACCACTTGAGCTATCGTGACTTGATCCACTCGGACACCAACTCCCCATCTCAACCTAATTTTCGAATTTTCCTTCCTTTTTGCCATTTTTCAAATGTCGTTTAATCAGGATTAGATTCTCGGCGATAAATGAAATGGCCACGGAGAGCTTTATTGAAGATATACTTCGTAATACTCAAGTGGTAGAGCAGCGGCGTATTAGCCGAAGGTCGTGGCTTCGAATCCCTCTCGTGACACTAACTTTTTCATTTCAACCAATACCATACATAAAGATTAATTAATTGAAAGAAGTTATTTGGTCAATCGGACCACGAAATATAATGGATGTAATTTATTTTATTTTCGAAATATGTACACTGAGAGGCAAAAAAAAGTGGCCACTCTTAATATTTGTAATTTTGTCTTAGACAATCCTCCATTGATTATCTGACAACAATATTTGGTCCATTTTAAAGAATTATAGATAAATAAAACCGATTAAATCTCCCATTTGTGCTTACAATTGAATTTTGAAAATTGAATAGTGAATAAGTCAATACCTTCTTAGTAGGTTTTTCTGTAAAGCTGCTTTTCCTTTGGGACGAGTTGTCATGAAGGGTAAAAAGTATGAAAATATTCCACAGCACTATATTTGAAACCTCATGCCACGTCGAATGCAAGCGGTGATCAACGCGAGAGGAGGAAATACTCCGTACTGAATTTTATTCGTTGTTTCCGTTGCGACATATTTCGTAAAATTGTGTTACAGAGTTTAATTTTTTATTTACATATATCTTATATTTTTATTTTAAAATATCCAGAAATCACACACACAAAAAAATTATAACAAAAAAAAAGTTACCCACTTTTTTGCTTCTCAGTGTAATTTGGACATTTATTGCGTGATAAAATAAAATAACCAATTTTTTTTAAATGAATTTTTTTCACGATAGAAACACATCATCAAACCAATGTATTATAGTAAATAAAAATTGGCTTTTTTCTAAAAGAAAAGTTCTCGAGTTCCGTGTCGTTTCTGTTTGTAAATATTTTACCCAACCAACAGATCAGTTTTGTTCCTTTCTTTGTTATGTTTTGAAATGTGAACCGACATACTGATGCAGCGAGAATAGTCCAGGATGATCAGGAAAAATAAAACCGCTGACGGCAATGAAATGTTGTGGAATTGCAATTATTGTGAAATTTTCTGCTGAGAACATTACATTTTCGGCATCTCATTGAAACGGTAAACACAGTTTTCTTAAACCATAATTTAAGCATTATTGAAGTGATGTTTAATGTTATTAACATCTAACTTTCATAATAATCATTAAAAGTCTTTCTTTTTTTGATTGTAAAGCTCTGTGTAATAATAATGTAAGTTTAGTGGCCAACAAACAGCAGAGGTCATCGCCTGCCTTGTGTTTGTACTTCTCTTTCTTTCGTTCACGCGTATTTTTCAGCCTGCGGCCATTTGTGCATAAAATGCTGGTCTCGTATATACCTCAGGTTGTTAACTAGAAAATAAAACATACAATATATATCACAACAACTTAGAAGTCTGGTCGCAGTCTCTCCCCCAGAGTACTCGATATTCCTCGGGGCGGGGTTGAACCTACTTCCCTTGTCGTTAATAACTTACTTTTACCCTCCAGTCGTCACAAACTCACCCCCGAGAACTCGGAAATAGCCCTTGGGGCGGGGTTGAAGTCCCCTTCCTTTCACGCTACTAAATTACATTCATTAAGGAGCAATTTAATATAAAATTAACACCCGATACCAACATAGAAGTCACGTTCACTTCCCAATAGTATTCCCTCTATATTCCTAGGGGCGGGCTTAAGCAACTCCTTCCTTTAACGCTAATAAATTTCATTCATTCCAGTAAATGAACGTAAACACAATACAAACACACATTAACACTATATACATTTTAAAACCCTTATAACCCTGAGGTACCGGAACAGTGATCTGTGCCCCAAGTACTGTGTAAAAATGTATACTTTACAATTTTAGCATATCGTAACATTTAACAAAGTACAATTTTTAGTGTTATATGACCGTTTCATTTATTGTAATGTAAAGTAAAATATTTTACAAAAAAAAGTGCATTTAACGTGTTAATCATGAGTATGTTAACCCTTGAATGAACCCTTAATAAATATATTTTCTTTAAAGGTGTATAGCAAAGAATTTGTTTTTTTATTGATTTAAATTTGAAGAAAACATGTAAATTTATGTGGTCTTTACCAAAAATGAACACTTGCATTTAAAACAATAACACTTGTCGTTCTTTTTAGTTACATGAAGAAATACCGAGCGTTTCAGTCAAAACTGAGGAGATCTACACGTTATTGGTAAACAAATACAAAACCGCTTTTTAAAAAACGCAAGCTTGCCATTTTCGTTCTTCAAGGAGGAAATGTGAAACGGAAAAGCTCCTTTTACACATCCCCCCCTCCAAGCGCGTACTACTTTGGTTGGCCAGCATGTAATTTACTCGGTATTTAAGCGAGCGCTTACAAGATGGCATGTGCAAATGGGAACTTGATCTAAAATACAAAACAAAAACATAGTTTTCACGGGTTATTTAACCCAAGGCGTTGCGACTTGGGACTGTTGTGGTGCTAAAGTCAGAAGAGGAGGTTCATTCAATCAATACGGAGTAACACATCCCCACTCTATCTCGATTCCAAAAGTGTATTTTTAATATATAATGTAATAAATGTGGTACAATTCTTGTTACACCGATGGTAATTTTCTCTTTCTGATATAATGCTAAATTTTAATGATTTTGTTTCGTATTTATTTTCCTTCATCAAATTGTTGTTTTATTCACAATTTATTTTCATTTCAACCTCATGTATTTTGTCAAAAATAAATTCAGTTGTTATAACAATAATGAATTTCAATTAGATTATTTCAACGTTAGGGGCCGAGTTAAAAATAAAAATAATAACATGCAACCGATGTAAAGTGTGTGTCATAAATCTAGGACACGCTTTGTCGCGTGACCGAATGGGATTACATTTGAGAAATTAGTATAATCATAGTTTTTCATATTTAGTGAGAAAATGTCCGAGTACAGTTTTTGACCGATTCAAAATTGAAACCCGTCTCACTCACACTTTTATCCGAAATCTGTTTTATCCGAAAAACGGTGGTTACATCACTTATTACGTTAAAATGACCTCCCAATTGGAAAATTAAAGTCAGAAATAAATTAAACTTCATAATCTACGGGCATTTCAATTTATGTAAACAAAAGGATCATGTTTAAATGTCGCAAAACTGCTCTTTTACAATTGTACAGCTAGATGTGCTACATTATCTCCCGCAGCCTCCAAACTGTACTAGCATGGCTTAAAAAAAATCAATGGCATGATTTTAAAATATATTTTTATTTGCATTTACTCAAAAGTAACATTTAAAATAAGGTATGGCAGTAGATTATCATAAGAAACAAAATTTCCTCTTTTTTTTTGGTATCTTTTTAAAAAATGAATCGTTTGCTGATTTTTTGATAGAATGAACACAGAATATTTTATATCGGATATAATAATATACTATATTAATATTAATTTAATTATAAAACTGTATATATTTTTGTTTGTTAAAATGTTTACGAACATTCTTATGGATTAAATGATTTCAAAAACCACGATTTGTATATATCTTTTATTTGGTCTTGTGTTATTTTGGAATCTACTGAAAATTGACAGAATATTCACAAGAAAATTTATTTATGAGAAAATAATGCCATGCTGATTACCATCATGCTTAACGATTAGTTAATTTAAAAATAATTAAATCTTTGGCATTATTTGAAAATACATTTGCTTTTGACCTTGTGTAATTTTGAAGTTTCCTCAAAACTAACTATTACACAGACAATTTGGTAAAGTAACAATTGGAATATTCATATCTAAAAGATTTTTTTAAAAATTGTATTAACTTTTTAAATAGGACGAACACAGAATGTTAATTACTGAATTTATATCTATCAGAAAATAATGTAGTTTTTTAAAAACTTTTTTATCTCAACTAAAAACCTTAATTGATTGTAGTAGTTTTTTAGTTTAGCATGTTCATTTAAATATTACAATTAAGTTTAGAACGATGTTTAACGATGAAGTAATTAAAAAAAAGTTACATCTTTGGTATAGTTATAAAATATACATTATTTGGCCTGTTGTTTTGCAGTCTATTCAAAATTAACATACAATTAAATATTCACTGGAACAATATTCTCTATTCTCTTTTCCTACAAGTTTACAATTAAATTGTGCATTGACTTTTTGAATGGAATGAGCCCGGAATGATTAGGGTCGATCAGAAAATAATGTCCGTTTTGTATACACGTTTAATGACTGTTTTTAAGTTAATTGATTAAACTGTCGTTAATACTTTGGCACGATGTTTTAACATAAAAGATAACATAAAATATATTTTATTTTATTTATCCCAACAATGACTGAAAAGGAAAGAAATTGGAAAGCATCTATTAAAAAATTATGTCAATGTGTATACATATTTAAGATTGTTTTGCCCTGATGATCTTAATATAGGACGAAAGCTTGACAGTAAAATGGAATTTGTTTCTTCATCCAGACCATATTAACATACCAAGATCCAGAATAGGGGGTAAAATGTGGTCGATGCATCTAACAGTTTATAAAAAATATTTTATTTGGTATCTGCAGAACAAAATTTTCTCTTTTTTTAAGCTGTTTTAAATTTTATATTGGATTTTCAAAAAGAATGAACACAATATTGTTTTTATATATTGAGAGAATAATATATCGTAGTGTATTTAATATTTTGAAAGATTAATTGATGAATCCATTGTTAAAACTATTTAAATATTTATTTTTAAAAATTACGTCTATTGTGTAATTTTGAAGTTTTCCTGAAAGTAAGAAAATGTATATGTATTGTGGTTATGTTGCAATTCGAGAAGTCAACATCTACAATATTTTCTCTTTTATTGTACGTTTTTTTAAACATTTTGCATCGATTTCAAATATAACGAGTACTGAATGTTATTTTTACATAAGGTCATCGTAAATTTGTAACATGCATTAATACTTGATCTGTTGTCCATTTTATTGATCCTTTGAGATTTTGTCTTCTTTTTATATACAATTTCAATTCTACCATGGTTTGGTTTCGTTTAAACAACTTTGAGTCTTATCAGTACATATGATAGACTAAAGGCAATTCAATATGGTCGGTGATGTAGCACGTGCCAGAAAACACGCAGCAATTTTTGCCGCGTCACCAATGAAATATGAGGCCTTGGTTTGTCATGGAGAAAACCTACGAGTTTACGACAAGCAGCATTTGATGGGGTTGACAGCTTAGTTCCGCTGTTCTTTGGAAAAGATTCTCGTCCAATTCCGAAAAACGATACTCTGTTTAATTCCACCTCTAGATATGATTAATGGAGGTTCATTCGGCTTTCCCTGTGATAGTGGACAACCCATGTTTTCTATAAAAATGGGTCGTTATCTTGATAGGAAATCGCATTGTTAACCAATCTGGCATATATATTAAAACAGAGCAGTTACCTTAAATAGATCAGCGACCTCTTTAATTGTATACAACAACAATAAAACTAACTCAGGTGGCGTCGGTGTCAGCAACGGTTTAGGCGTTGACTCGGCGCTCATCATTGCAAGGTAAAGGTCCGGGGTTCGAATCCTGCGGCCCTGCATTCGAACCCGACATTCTTGCAAATGTTTTTTTTTTCTTCAAAAACACCGGCACCCCTAGGGTTCTCATAACCCCGTAGTTGAAATACTCGCGTTAAAAAACTTAATTATTAAAAAGGTAATTAGTTATTGTAAAACATGCTTTTATGGGCGTCAAGTGAGGTGTAATTCGATATTATTTTCTGATCTACTCAATACTACGATTTAGTTTTTACAGCATGACAAAAAACTTAAAATTTTAAATTATTTTAGGTTCCGGATGTGTATCCTTTGTACCTATGGTTTATAAATTGTACTGATTTTACTATCCTAATATCAGGCTGTCCGATAGTTAATGCAAAATGCATTTCACAACTTGTTAAAACACGTGACTTCATTTCTTTTAAAATTCCAACGAAAAACAAACAATAAATCCTTTATTTATGTATCACATATAGAAAAACATGATTTAAATTAACAAGCCCCACTTCCCATTATAAACAAATAATTACACAATTGCATAAGAGTTCCTCACTGAAGAAGGCGCAATGCCGAAACGCGTTTGAATAGTCAACAAACCTGCGAATGAAGCCGGACCGAATGACACGCAGACCAACACTCAGCATCAACTCTAATTACGCAATGTTAAATAATGTTTGTTTTTATGATGTACAAAGTTACCGTATTGCTATTTTTCTTGTTTGTTTCTCCGGCCTGAAAAAAAATCGCATTTATGAATTGTTTAATTGAGCATTTATTGTTCCCATTCAATTGTAGAAATTAGTAGCCCTTGTTGATTAATTAGCTTTTTCTTTCCATATGTTTCTCAGTTAGGGAGGCCAACAAACCGACAATTCATTTTGCCATTTGACACGCTTCAATTCTTGTCTTATTTTTCTTTGTTTCGTTTTTGATCATAACTGGTTATCTCTAGATAAGCCTATCTCCAACGGATGCTTGTGAGTAATGAAATCCCGGATGATTTTAAGATAAAACACCGACAGAAATCATTAAATATCGACGTAATTCGATGAGAAACAGTCAACTAAAACTTAAAAAAAAAAAAAAAAGCAGTAAAAAAACAAATATCGGAGTCGGAATAAACTAAAATGAAAAATGGCAAGCGCGCGCCGAATGTAGAACTACCCCACTACTTTTCACATTTTCTATAAGGACATTTGGCGAGAGAATCGATATGGCGTTTATTCAAGTCCAAGGTAAAATTGGGGAGAACTGCGAGAATAGGCGGACCCAGAGGTCACAAGGCCGAGAGGGTTCAAAGAAAATTTAATGAAAGAAAAGCTTGTAATTTTTATGAGTCTATGCTCAGTGTTGCAAAAACGCACTGTACTATTTTTTAAAATAGAATTTTCTTTTTCTTTCCATTAAATGTTATTTCGGCTTCTATTTTTAGCTTTGCCTTAGGGCGGGATGTACTGAAACGAAATATGACTCATTTTCGGTTTTATTGGCAGCCCTCATTTGTGTTGTGTATTCCAAATTCTTGAAGTTCTTGAAGGAGAAATGTCTCAAGAAAAGTAAGTTTTTCTATTACAATATTACTTATTTTTTTACATGCAACGTTATTTTGGTTTTTCTTTATACTGTTGAAAATAACTGTGTGCAAAATTTCAAAAAAAAAACAACAAAAAAGTCTAATTAAGGATATTTCGCGTCTAATGTCAGTGTTGCGTTTTCGCAACACCGGTCACTTGTACTAACTTGTATTTTCTCTTCCTTTGAGTTTTATTTATTTTTCTGTTTCCCATTTTTCACTACCCTTTTCTTATATTATTATATAATTTTTATCTTATCTTTTCACAGTTTATTATATTATCTTATCTAATCTCAGTATCTTATATACTAGTGATACATTATTATTTCCCTTCTTTTTTATTAGAAAGTATTATACTGCCCACGAGCTACTGTGTATTTTGTCAGAATTACAGGAACTATAAGGATATACCGAACTGAAGACGCGCCCATAAAAGATATAGCTATTATGAAAATAAAACCTAGAGGTTCATATCAGTCTTGTATAGAAAAAAACTCATCAATTCTACCATGCCGGTGGAACGATAACTCGGTGGTAACAGTACTTTCGAATTTCCAGACACTCCGTTACGCCAGGCTCATCGATATTCCGCAGCTCATAAAAAAAAATCCAGGTCCAACAACAGCAAATAATATAGTCTTACAACCAAAACATTACGGGGTACGGACAGGATGGATCAAAACGTTGCCACTTCCCGTACATCCATCAGGTCTAAAAAATGGTGGCGGCCCATATTTCTCTGGACCGTAGATGTGGCTCTACAGAATTCCTGGCTGTTATACTGAGCTTCTCCAGGAAAGACATTAGATTTTTTGCAGTTCAAGAGAAGTGTTGCAAATGAACTGCTTGAAAGATTCGGAAATGCGCCTAAACGAACATGGTATTCGACATCAACCGTTATGAGCATGATTTCATCGGGGACCCAATTCGACAAAATTGAGCATTTCCTAGGGACGAAAGAAAAACGAACCCGATCTGGAGTATGTAAATCCACAACCATAAAACAATGTGTAAAATGCGGAATCGCATTGCACGAAAAATGTTTTCTTAAATTTCACCAAAACTAGACAATTGAAAAAAATTGTAGTTACAAAAAAGACTGTTGTAAAAATACATATATAATTATAAGGTTATTATGATTCATGATGATTTTAATTTACCTACATTTCGAATATAATCCTAATTTCATCCATATGTATAGGATAAAGGTAATAAGGAGAAATGACTCCTCAAGTGACCGGTTTTGCGTTTTCGCAACACCCTAATTTGCATACTAAATGCCTAGCTATATTTTTTTAAACATATGTTATTGTTAAAAGGGGTGAAAAAGAAAAGCTACCTAAAAGATAATTTCGAAATTCCTCAAAAAAAAAAAAAAATAGTGGGCATAAACGGGTAGTAGAGTATTTTTTAATCATAGTGAAAGCTTTCAGATCGTGTCTGTTATTTTCTCATATCATTTCTCTATCATCCATCCATCAATAACGAGCCGACTTTTCATTTGTTAACTTGTTCTAAATCAAGTGTTTATTGATAATTTCTATGGAATGTTAATCCGTGGCTGTCGCTCTCAGGGAACGGCGGTACGACCACGCTGTCCACCTCTTCGGCCTCAGGGTGGAGAAGGGCGGCCACTCGATGAAGGTCGGAGACGACGGGGTGCCGGAACTGCTCCAGGGCGAGACGGTCGTCCTCCGCCTCTTCGGCACGGGATTCAGGAACGACACCTTCTTCGTACTCACCCATAAAAAACAGGACAGGGGCGAGCACTGCGACTTCCCGGCGACTGAGAAACAGCAGGTAACCCTCTTGTCCTTCCTTATCCCTCTTATCAAATATCAACAATATTTTGTACGAATTGTTTTCTATTCAAAGTTTCCAGGCGAGATGGATTTTCGATTTTATTTTGGAAAATTCTATCCAACCCTATCTTTGGCCAATTATAAAACCTCCTCCAACTTGTTTTGTTGAAAATTATTATTCAAAAATCCCATAGAACAATTAAATGTCCTGATGTTTATAAATTTTAAAATTTCTATTACGAGAAACGGGAAACGGTAAATGCACATTTCCAGATGTCATCTTTCCTAAAACCTTCAGAAAACCGTAATAATTTAAAAAAAGTATAACAATTATTATACTTTTTTTTTTTAATAAAAAAAAAAAGTATAACAATTATTATAAATGGGGGACCGCGGTAGCCGAGTGGTTAGCATGAGAGACTCTCACGCCGCGGTCGTGGGTTCGATTCCCACCGTCGCCTCTGGCCCTTTTTTCCCCGATAACCCCCAATTTGAACACACAATAATTCGTACTATGGCTAATATTCAAGATCATAAGGCCAATAAAAAAAAAAAAAAAAAAAAATTATTATTATAAATCATTTAACTTGTATTATAAATTGTGTTTTTATCCGCTGGAGGTTATATGTAGTAATTTATAAATGGCACCTTATACATACAATTTTTTTTTCAGGCGATGAGTGGTAACATACATTGAATTTTTTTTGCTAATAATTTTATTTTTTCATTATGGTAAATTACATTGTAATAAAAAAAATATACAGAAAGTCGTTACATTTTTTTGTACTTTCTGTACTTTGTACTTTTTGTACTTTCGTACTACTTGTACACATTTCAATTATTTCGTTATGCAATTGCACACGTACGGGTTTTTTTTTATGAGTCGGACGTGGGACCGCATTGACTTGCTAAGTCGAGCTTCGAGTTCTCATTAAGTTTTAAGAGTTTTAAAACACGTTTTACATTTTTTTGTTAAAAAAATTTATAATTTATGCATTTTTTAATGGTCGGCTTAGTTTACACTCTTTGAATCTATTCAAAACTTTATTTGAAATATTTTCCTATTGTTTCATTATAATAGAAATTTTGAAGCTTTTCACCCGCACTCGGAGCTTTTGTAAGAAAAACCGTCGTTATTATTTTTTTTCTAATGGTGAAGTTAACTGTTTTGACTGGTGTTCGCTTATCGTACATTTGAAATGCTTCAAAAACCTAAGTGGCGGCTCGATTAGCGAACAATTGGGGGGATCAATTAACCTTGAAGTCGTTTTATTGTTAACTATCTAGAGTAATGTCCTTTCTTTTTTATTTTTAATTCATGCAATCTATATTTTAGTGTGATTAATAGCCGATTATTAAATATAACGGTAAAAAATGGTTATTTATTTTTGTTTAACAAAAAAAAAAAAATTGTTAAAAACTTAAGCGTTTATACTATTGATAACTATCACAAGAATAAAATTTATTCTCAACTTAGATTATTCTGAAAAAGCGGGTAAATTGCTTTTTTTTGCAACCACAGGCGATTCAAAATACCGTAATTTACCTATAAAAAATAACGTTTTACAGTATAACTGAGATCTGAATTTTATTGATTCTCAAATAAAATTAGCCCTAAACATAAAAATTAAAATAATCTATACAGTGTGACCTTTTTAGATGGCGTGGCTGAATTTTTCTTAAGATGTTGACTGCTTTTGTAAAATATTGGTTGTCAGTACACTTCAGAGCCAAAATTTTGAAATTTTAAATGAAAATGTATACTTTTTTTACCAACAGTTATAACAGATTTTTTACACTTAGAATGATGGCCCAGTCAGATTTTAAATTCATTTATAAGTCATTGTCATTCGTGATTAATCAAGGAAATTTATGGGACGGAATGTGAAAAGCAATATCTTAATTTCGTTTAAATCGGGAACTGAATGACTTGCAGTAATGTTTATGGGTCTGCTAGCAGTAGGTACGCACGTTTTTTGTTAATAAACTGTATCAACGGTCACAGGAACACAGACCCACCATTATCTACAAAATTTTGTAAAATCGACTAGCACCAAAACAGCAAATGAAAATACTTAATATTAAAAACAAATGATTACACGACATTTGAAAAATGGCAAAAAGGAGGGAAAATTCTAAAGGTAAGTTGAAGTGGGAAGTTGGTGACCGAGTGGATTGAAGTCACGATAGCTCAAGTGGTAGAGCAGCGGCATATTTAGCCGAAGGTCGTGTGTTCGATTCTCGCTCGTGACACTAGCTTTTTCATTTCAACCAATACCTTGCGTAAAGATTAATTAATTGAAAGAAGTTTTTTGGTCAATCGGACCATGAAATATAATGGATTTAATAAAAACAAAATTAGGATATTTCTTTTCAAATTCTGTGTCATAACTTCATTGTTCCTTGACGAATTTAAAATCTGATTCCTCCATCGTTTTAAAAAGGTACATCTTCTCATTTAAAATTTCAAAAATTGTACTGGTTCTGAAGTATACTAAGTAACAATGAAAAAAAAAAAGCGGTAAAAATTTAAAATTAGACTAAAATATATTAAATACGTATTTTTTGGTTTTAAGATACAGTTATCGGTTCAAGAGAAATTCATCCGGGTCATCTAAAACGAAAATCCTGTATAAATCTGAAATGAACCCTTCAAGCATTTATAGTAAGAGACATTAAGAACCAATGCTGTAGGAAATAGAAAAATGATGATCAAAGGAAATTGAAAAAGGCATAAAAAATGAATGGCCATTTCATTAAACACTAATACCAAAAGCATGTATTTGTTAAATCAAAAGAAGCTTGATAATCAAAAAGTAGTATTTTGTCGGAATGTAGTACAAGACAGAATAGATAAAATCATAATTTTTTTGGGGGTTAAATAAGGGTATTAACTTTGCAGCGTTCCCTGGTTTGGTGAAAACTGAATTTTTCCCAATCCGTACAATTTGATGTTCTATTTAATAAGTACATGTATTATTTTTACATATAGTTCAAAGAGTGGTGAGTACTCTTATCAATCTTATAAAAGTATTCAGTGATGTGTGTTTCAGCTGATTGGGGATTCTTTTTCTGATGGGTCGGCGTTGCTGGAAGTAGTGATTCCGACAGTTGGTGAGACGGGCACAATGTTTTATCTGTGTTTTAAGCGGATTCCGAGCAAGTCGAACGGGACGACGGCGGAGCACGTTATCTGGACCCATCTCGGATCCGAACCGTATTTGGCAATGAGGTCGTTTAAGAAGATGCTGCCCCTTTACGTCTCCATCATCATCATCGTTTTCTGCCTCATGTTCTCCGCCCTCTTCTCCGGCCTCAACCTTGGCCTCATGTCCCTGGACAGAACCGACTTGAAAATAATATCCAACACCGGCACAAAAAAAGAGAAGAAATACGCCAAAGCCATCACCCCGGTGAGGGCACACGGTAATTACCTCCTCTGCAGTATACTCCTGGGTAACGTGATGGTCAACTCCACCTTCACCATACTCTTGGATGAGCTGACGTCGGGTTTCGTCGCTGTCATCGCTTCCACCCTTCTTATCGTCATATTCGGTGAGATCACCCCGCAGGCTATCTGCTCCAGGCACGGTCTCGCCGTCGGCGCCAAGACCATCTTCATAACGAAATGTGTCATGGGCCTCACCTGCCCACTTTCGTACCCCATCAGCAAAATACTGGACAGACTGTTGGGAGAGGAAATCGGCGCCGTCTACACTAGAGAAAGACTCAAAGAATTGGTAAAGGTACGCATGCTATACAAATTATAACGGCAATCATGCTATGACGGATTGTACGGCTTTCTGGTTTTGGAAGTCTGACCGAGTCTGCATATTAATCTTTTTGACTAATTAAACTTTATAAGAGATGATACAAATTAGTGAACCGATGTCTTGTGGCCAGGGGAGTGGTGAGCTTTTGTCCGCTGCTTGATCGTCCTCATTCAACCTGATCCGCTTATTCTCGCTTACATTTTGGTTCATAATCTAGCCATTTTCAGTGGTCGGGGTGCTCATTTTCGTATTTGTCCTTTTTAGGTTTATTTTAGATTCTATAAGGATAAGCGAGAGGGAGATGGAAAAGGAAGTATGATTTTTTTTAAACTAAAGGTATAAATAAAATAAAATGATGTAAGCATACTTCATGAATGATGAAACTATTAGCCGGAAAATTTATAACAATTCAATGCAATACAAAGAACTATAATTACATACTACATTATCATAATATTATTTAATTTCGAGTTGTAGAAAAAATACAATCGATCAATTCAATACTAACAAAACAAACAATACACTACCGAAGTTGCCGCCCCAACACGCCTTAAGCCATATACTCGCAGGAAAGCCTCAAGGCAAAGGCCTCCGGGATTTCCTCTACCAAACCCTTGTCGCCACACAAAAAGGAATTTCTTCAAGGAAATCCTCACGGTAAAGGCCTAGTGCTGTGTGGACTGGTTGTTGCGAGCCTGATTGTTCTCCTTAGGCGGAAAAAGAATAGAATTTTATTCTATCGTCTCTACCTTCCCCATGGCCAGAAGGAGGCCGCCAACCACGTTGAGGAATTCCTCAAGGCTTGGACTGTTCTGGCCGAACCTTGAGAAAATCTCGCTCGTGTATGGCTACATTACATTACATTACATGGCTACCTTTACTGAGCACATGGAGAATTTGCGGGCCAGGATGATCGAGGTCGATCAACAAACAAAATTCTTTCTTATGATGACATTTTATCGACCTTGACAAATGTTGTACAAAGTTGCTCAAGAATAGGTGCACAGTTTATGTGGCATATTGCCAAAATAGTGAGAACGTCCTTCTACTCCAATGGCACTGCACTAGATTATCATATTGAAAAGTTCTGGAGGTAATTTTCTTTTGATTATCGATTCTCATTTTGCAGTTAGCAGCTCTGCATTTAATGGCCTGCTATAAATTTCACGATCCAAGTTGGTGATTACAAGGATTGAATATGGAACAGCCATTTGGACTTTTATGAGGAAACAAATGTAAAACATAAATAGTTGAGCTATACCGGATACTATTTCTGTCAGAATTGATTTTTTCATCAGAACAAAATTTTTAGCCTGTCCCAAGATCCTCGTTTATACTTTTACCGACATTAAATTTGTATTATTATTATTCCTATCGCTTCATGTTCTGAAAAAATAATTAAGAAGGTGGCATGTTGTTAGCTTATTTTTTATTATTATTTTAGAAAAAACTTCAGTCCACTTTTAAAATAAAAATCATTAATTAGTATTATAATTGGGGAATATAAATAATTAATATTTAAGTCAATATTGTTTATCTTTTACAACTGTATAAAAATGGTTGTTTGTCAAACTCGCATTATGAGAGCAACAAATCCAAATTCCAAAATATCCAATTAACAATTTATCAATCACATTAATCAAATTAAATGATTTTCTCGTGTTTTGGTAATTTTTTTTTCTTCAAAACATCATAATTAAATAATTTTTATTAAGCTCATGAATTTCCGATCACGTTTAATTTTCTTTAAATGAAAATAAGTATGTTATAATTAATGTAACAGCATACATACAATATTTTGAAATAAACTTTTTTTTTAAATGTAGTATGTTGAGTATGTCATTCAAGTCAGCAAACAGTTTAATTTTGTTTACTAACTTTCCAAAATCTACAGTTAAAAGTCATCTTACTGACTTAAAAAATTCATGTCAAATTCCTTTTTGTAATACTTGTTGTTAAAATTATTTTGAATATTTTAGTTGACCACTGAGTTCAATGATCTTCAAAAGGATGAAGTCAATATTATTTCTGGTGCTCTTGAATTGAGCCAGAAAATGGTTCTGGATGTCATGACAAAGATCGAAGATGTTTTCATGTTATCAATTGATGCGGTTTTGGACTTTGAAACCGTTTCTGAAATAATGAAATCTGGTAAAGTTTCTAGTGATACATTCAAAGTATTAGAGTTTTAAATTCACTAACAATACAATTACAGGATTTTCTAGGGTGCCTGTTTACGAGGGTTCAAGAGGAAACATTGTGTCTATGCTTTACATTAAAGATTTGGCTCTTATCGACCCTGACGACAACACACCTTTGAAAACACACTGTGAATTCTATCAAAATTCATGCTATTTTGTGTTTGAGGACACAACCCTCGATGTACTATTCAAGCAATTTAAAGATGGTGATTTTCATTAAAAAAATGCTCTTTGTTAATTAGCAATGTTGAAAGGTTAATTAAAATGTTTAGGAATAAAGGGCCATATGGCATTTGTGCACAGAGTCAACAGCGAAGGGGAAGGAGATCCCTTCTATGAAACTGTCGGGCTTATTACTCTCGAAGATGTTATTGAGGAGCTTATCCAGTCTGAAATCAATGATGAAACGGATGTTTACAGTAAGTCATTAAAAAAATACAATTCTGTTTATATTTTATGAATGGATTTTTTTTTTCTCTTTCTAGCTGATAACAAAACAAAGAGACGAAGGAAAGAAAGACATAACAAACAAGATTTCTCAATGTTTGCAGAGAAAAATGAGAATCAAAGAATACACATATCACCACAAATGACATTAGCAACATTCCAGTTCCTCTCTACAAGTAGGTTTGTTTATGTTTGAAATGGTCTCTGATCAAATGACAAACTATTCTATTAAAGGGTGATTTAATTCGAATCCGACATACTTACAAATGATGATTTATGCCTTTTAAATAAATATTACAATGAAATCAGTTTAAAAACGAACCGATACATCCCTTCTAAACAGAAATAATATTCACAACAAGAAAAGGATTTGTTCTTGTTAATTTTTTATGTATCTTGTATAGCTGATGGTCTTCACACAATTCCTTAGACCTTGCTGGACACAATTATAAAAAGTGTTATGACAATTAAAGTTATCTATTTCAATTTAAATTTTCAGCTGTCGATGCCTTCAAACCAGATAATATATCTGAAGCAGTACTTCGTCGATTGTTAAAGCAAGATGTGTTCTATCATATAAAAATCAAAGATAAAACTAAAAAGCTGGAGCCGCATACTATTATTTATGAACAAGTAATTACTTCTCAGCATAATTTATGCGCTCTGGAATTAATTCACGTTAATACTTTCCATTTTCCCAGGGCAAACCTGTCGATTATTTTGTATTGATTTTGGAGGGAAGAGTCGAAGTCACCGTGGGCCGGGAAAATCTTGTGTTTGAAAGTGGTCCATTTACTTTCTTTGGTTCTCAAGCACTCATACAAAATGTTGGTGGAGGTGAGTTATATTAAAATATCAAACAGTAATTCAGAAAAATGATAAAAACAATATATTAGTCCTACCCGCCGAATCACCATCAAGTGGAGGAAATCAACCGATGGGGTCACTGCAGAGTGTGAACCTTGACTCAAAGCTCCGTACCACTTTTGTACCCGACTATGGTGTTCGAGCAGTAACGGAAGTTTTCTACATGAAGATCAAACGGTCTATGTACCTAGCTGCAAAAAGAGCCACCCTGATGGAGTGGTCGAAGAAGGAAGAATCAAATGCAGGTGATGCGTTTGATGATGAAATGGACAAGGTGGGTTTTTTTGGTTTAGCAAAGTTCCAATTTACATGACATAGAGACAATAGGTTTGTTCCATCAAATGATAAGCAAACTTTCTGTTGGCCGTTCCATCACGTTTCAGATTATGTTTGTGACTGGTTTTGTACCTCAAAAAGTACGAGGATTTTCCTAGGGATTGGCAGTCAGAGACTTGCCCAGATGTTTCCGTGCTTTCGCCGTTGCAAATTTGCAAGTTCTTACTCAACTAAGGGACTAGATTTATATGTGAAATAAAATGTAAATATATACGTATATATGTATTTCTTTTTTGAACAAAAATCCAAGTTAAAAATGTAAAATTCAAAAACATTTAGTTGTGCATATTTTTTTTAATTTTTTTTTTATATATATAAAGAAGAAAAGAATATTAGTTGAAAAATGTGTAAAAAGGAAGAATATAACAAGTAAATAAAATAGAATATAAACCTTTGATTTATTTGAAATAATGTACATTTTTAAATGTTTGTAATTAAAAATGTATCTTTCTAATGCTAAAAAAGTTTACAAAATAAAAACCCATTAAAAAAGAAATTAAAAGTGAAGTTGTTTAACAAATTCATAGGAAGTGATCGTTTATGCTTCACAGAGTAAACATCAGCACTTGTATCTAAGCAGTTCTTGCCCTTCCAGGGAGTAGTCATACAATTCTTTTGTTTCTGTGTTTTTATGAAGAAGTATCTGCTTTTTGGTTTTGTATTTGTGTAGATACTTTTCAGTTCAGTAGAAAAAAAGAAGTTTTTCTGTTTTATTTTGTCTCCCATACGGAGTCACACATTATGCACTTTGACCCCGAACCTCCTAATAGAAGTCCAAATACATTTCCAAAACAAAAACTGAAATGGGTAGGCTTAAAATATTTAATAATGAGTTTAAATGAAAATCACCCATCCAAAATCACGTTTAATAACTTCATCCCTTTTAAATTTTATAAAAAGTTTTTGCCCCCAGGTGAATGTCAAAAAAAAAAAAAAAAAAAAAAAGGATTTTCTAATCTGAACTGTATGAAAACCCTCAAAGACATTCCGATTAAATTCAATCTTCATAAAACTCTTAATTGTTCAAAGGGAGTCATAATTGCCCGTGAGTTACAAGATTGAGATAGAACTAGCCAAACAACATGTTATAAAAGTTCAACGTATGTGAAGGAAACAAAATAAGTCCCGGCTTTCGATAGGTCTCACCCTGTTTATATCAGAGAGAAATACACAGAAAAAATTTGAATCAGTGAAAAACATCTTATAAAAACACCAAATTACTTCTTCGCAGGCAAAGTCATAAAACACGGGGCACATGATGTTACTTGCAAGTCGTTAATATGCCAATTGCCAAAACCCCCTGAATCTAATTGAGAGGTTCTTACTTCCGCTCCTATGACCTTACATCCAATACTTTTTCCTCCCCTTCTCGACATGGACTTCAGATTTCTCAACCCCTAAATGGGTTCAAACTTTTTAGTGTAACAAATTGAAAAGCTAAGCAATATTGTCGTTGAACTAATAGGTAGCTGATAAAATGGATAAATTTGAACAAGCCTTAAAGCAAATACACTGCCCCCCCCCCAAAAAAAAAATCTCTTCCCAGCCGAAAGGCTTTTTAAAGCGGAAAATGACCCAAAGCAGTTGATCGCCTTTATAATTTTTAAAAATATATATAAATCAAAAAAGTTTTATGTGGTTTATTTATTATAGGAAGAGCAAAAAATCAATAAATTCTAGAAAGGAGGAATAGTTGGTTTAATTTTTTTTATAATTGTGAATAAAACAAATTTGTTATGGCAAATCTTCATGTTAAGTTAACGATGTGAAATTTGTTATTAGGGCTGCAAAAATTTTTTCAATTGTTTCAATTTTGAGCACACATTTTAATATACCTACATAGGCCATTGGAACCCAGATTTCACCACTGATCTCCAGGAATCTGCATCCATTACAAAATAATAGACAAATTAAATCGACAAAAGTCTATTTCTAATTTCAAATGTTTTGATGTTTCCTATCTAAACTGTCGGAGTCTGAGTTTGGAAAAAAGAGTTCCATCAGAGTTAAGAATCTATGATCTGTCAACGTTCGGACAAATATGACAGATTAATTGGCCGCTGGTTTGTGATTGTGCGATGGAACAAATCTAATAATAGATATTATGGAAAAAAATGCATATTTGAAAACAAAATTAAACTTCAAAGAAACCAAAAAACATTACTAAATAAATGACTTACATTTCAGCTTATCCATACACTAGGTGGTGACGATACCAGGAGTCAGGGCTCACCAGAAGTCACAAGAACTTACTCACAGGTATTATACAATTTATTTTTATTGAATTACATAAAATATAATATTTGTTGTGTTTTGTTTAACAAGAAAAAGTTATTAAAGAATTGGGTATAAAACTTAATATCTAATTTCCAGTGGTCAACTAGGAGTGCCTGTTTGGTATGATTGCTTTAAATAAGCATGTATATTTTAATAGGTTGCTTGCAGATAAAATTTAAATTTGCAGGCATACAGCAGATTTTAGGGTAATTTAGTTTGTTTACCAGGTGCTTCACAAACGCAGTGAAAATAACAAATTTTATCTTGTCGAGATATATTTTAAGGAACTCAGTAGATTTTTTGGAGTCCGAATGAATTTTTTATATTTATACTATTGAAAACAATGTTCTCGAGATATGTCAGCATGCTTAGCTTTCGCATAAGGCTAATCATTAAAATTACATTTGACATTGTTTTTCTTAAAAAAATCGCCACAAATCAGTATGTTTGCTGCAACCGTCCATTTTGTTTCACTTGATTTATACCAGAAATTGCCTTACTGCTTTGTTTGTAGGGGGTAGAAATCTCCACCAATGATTTTTTCCTTTTATTACTGATTTGAAGCTTTGAAGTCATCATTCACGATAAATTTTTACTTTTTTGGTGTATTTTGTGTCAGCAGTTTGCATATTACTTGCTGTCAGTCCTCTCGCTCTCTTACTAACTGTGTTTCATCGTCTCAAATATTCATGCTCAAATTCTGTCAATACTGTTTTAGAAATGATCAAACTGCTGACAAAAATCTACCTGACCACCAAAAATAATTTCAAAATTATATGTTATGAAAATATTTGCTGGAGGTCATCAGCATGTTTATTTAAAAAAAATTTAGATTTAATAATAAAAAAAGAATTATTTTTATACAATTTTTTTCTAAAATTAGCACATAATAGCCCAATAAAATTAAAATATGTAATAATTTTTGCCTTACTGAGCAACAAATCCTTGGGTGGATTTTCAAGACAGTAAATATTGTCAGTTGTAGAATATTGTGACTACTGTTTGAACATATGGAATTAAATGGGGAATGTATGTGTATGTATACTACATACATATGTATTACATGACAAAACCTTTTTTTGTGCCAGTTAAATCAGTCTTTTGTTTGAAATCCTGGATATGTTTGCTTGTATGCTCAGTTGGAAAGGAAAAGTTGAATAGTGTTATACACAAGTGGATTTCCATTAATGTTGTTGACATAAAGGTATTAACTGGAAGTCATTGTTACTCAATGGTAGTCATATTGGTTCTGTGCAATAATTCATTTGTCTGTGATGATTTTTTGTACAGAATTATTTTCTTGAAGTATTGCTCATCTATAATTTCAGTTGTGTGAAGAGTGTTTGCCATTCTTCAAAATTTCTTTGTTTTTGATTAATAAGAAGTTTAAATTTGGTAAAAAGTTATGTATTGAAAATCTTCCATAAACCTTTCAGTTTTGCTGTAATTAATAAAAAAAGTGATAAAATTTAAATTTAAATTGCAAGCCTTCTCAGGGTTAATAGCCCAACTTGATTAAACTTGCCATTGCAAATGGGAAAATCAATTATTTAAATCCAAACTTTGCAATTTAATTTTACTACTGGGATAAATACATTTGGTTTTCTAGAGGTCGACAAGGAGCATGGATGAGAAAAAACGCCCCAGGAGGGCAAGTAGCATATTCAACAGGTTCCACCAACGTCCTGGCAGTATCATTATGACCAGGCGCTATTCTGCCAGTAATCACGAAATGTTCATTTGATCCATGATGGAAGGTACATCCGTGACAGAGAGAAAAAAACAACAACGTTGTGTTTGAACCCCTCCCTTGCAATTGAGACTAATGCAGAGAGACAAAAAATAACATGCGGTTGCTTAAATCCAGTTGTCTTACACATTCAAGTGACGTCTTGCTTTATAATGGTGTTTGATGTTAATGCAGTGCTTTCAGTGCATAGTATTCAGTCCATTTTTGACATGACTAACAACTTAAATCAAATAAGATTTTTATATAATGCAATGATGATTTTTACAGTTCTTCATATTAGACTAGAGTTTTGATTTTAAAAATTGAAAAGAATGGTGCACCCCTATTTCATTCAACAACAATTATCAACTTTTCATTCCACATTCATTAGGTGGTTAATTACACACCAAAATATTCTTTTATTTTATTTCACTTTGTGTAAAAAACAATTTACCCGGAAATTTCAAATGTTTTAGGTTATTGTACAAATTATTTACTTGTAGTCTTCTTAAATAATCCATTTCTGTATATATCTAAACTTAACAATAGGGGAACAAAACAATTCAAAAGTGATAGCAAATTTATAAAGTTATCATGAGTATTCGACTTAATACTGCTGATTAGGTGACAATTTTTAAACAATACTTTAACATGGTACAGCTCAGAACTATTTCAATTTACGTATGGCTGAATAATATTTTTAATTTTGATCCAAAACACACAAAGCACAATAAAAAAAAAATAAAAAAAATGCATTTTAGTATGCAATAAATTTATTCCACTAGAATCTCAAATTCTCCTTACTCTCTTAAAGCATAGAGGCATAGTGCATGTTGTTGTAAATAATTTGTTTGAAACAATGAATTAATGCAACTGCTGAACATTTTTTTTAAATATTAAACCCAAAATTTGTTTATTAGGTTAAACAAATTAAAATGTTTGGTAGGGCAAAGTTTTTTCATAGTATTTTGATTGTTTTCTTATAATTTTTGTACAATATTCTTACCTTGTTATATAAATATCAAAATAAAAACACAACTTTAATCATTAAATTGTCAATGTTTTTTTTATGCTTTTTGAAATGAGGGTTCTGAGTTTCATGGTAGAGAATAACCAAGCTATTTTGATTACTTACACATTTACAAACTTATGAACTATATATTTGTACATATGAACTCATTTGATAGTTTGACTGTGTTTAGGCGTTCAGTTTGGCAAATTCATCAACTTTCATTCAGTTCGTGGGTGCAGTTTTATATAAAAAAGAAAGTTAATTATGTCTGAATAAGTCTTGGCAATTTTCTTCCTGGTGGGCTTCAAAAATCAGACAAATCAGGACAATTTTTTTTTACAACCACATAAAAGAAAGAACAACTACTTGAAAAAGTCATTACATGACTGTACATTACATTCCAGAAAAAATTGTCAACTGTTTTTTAAAAGTTGCATCTCTTTATGATTTTTACATTATAATTATACTAATAATAATAGAGTTGAGGCTCTGTGTGGATTGATTTTGATTTTAAAATTTTATTTGAATACTGTGATCCCTTAGTACTTAACTCTTCTTATTCTTCTCCCTGATTCACATTTAAAATTATACTTATATTATCAAAAATGTTTGTTTTTTGGCATTAGGCAGAATAATCGTGATTAATATTGCGGGCTTATCCTTTGTTTATTTGTTGGTAGAATGTTTGGCTTTTTTTTTTATAACAAATGAATGAGGGATACGTTCTGTTTTATGATGATCTTTATAGGCAACAATAACGGTTATTATTCCATCTTGTTTGCTTTAGTATTTTTTTTCTAGTTCGCTACGTGTATTTGCTTCTTTCTGACTAATTTTGTATAGAAGTTAGCAAAAGTTTAATATTGTGGTTATTTATTTTATCTTGTCCTATTTATTATTAATATTATTTATACAAAGTTTAAATATATCTTTTTTTCTTTTCTTCCAGCAGCAGTCTGGGAAAACAAGCCCCCAGCCGTTTTCTAACGGACCGCTAAACTATTCTGAACCTCTTCTTGCTGCCAGGATGGAAGTGGCCAGAAACCTAGGAGACGTACAAACCGTTCATACAATTGATCCCAGTTCCACACAGGATGAAATCTCAAAACTATTACCAACATAGCGAATTAAAAAGTACCAATAATTTTTAGATTTTTTTTTTGTTAAACGTTATTGCGATATATATTTAAACTCACATAGAAAACAGTGTAAAAAAATACCCGCACTTAGTAAATATCTTGCTAATTTTGTTTTTAACTGAAAAATTAAATTTGCAAATGGATAAACCAAAGCCAAAACTACTTCTCTTCGATTTTGAGCCAATTTTGTCTGTTAAGTGTAATCCATACATACAAAAAAAACTAATTGTTTTAAAAATGATTAAAGAAATATTTTCTAAGAAATTTGGTAAAGAAGCAGTCAATCATATAATATGGAGAGTTGTAGCTACATTTTAAGATAAGTTAAATTTTTTATTATGAACATCATTGTATTAATTTCACTGTATTTATCATATATTATTTTTTATATAACTGATTTTTATAGTTACCTTTTTAAAACTTGTTTTCTCAAAAGCCAATTAATTAGGCTATGTGAATAGACTTTTTTAATTATAAGATTAGCTTCCTATATGAAAGTACCTGATATATAAAAATGGTTTACTTAATAATTGTGATTCTTTCACATAAATAGTTACTGGTAAAAATGTTGAATACCTAGTTGCATTTTAGTGTGTAATGGTTATGATATTGGTCTTTTTGTGGTTCTGTTGTTTGTGAGCATCATCATTGCCTTTTGTAACAAAGTGATTGGATCGAATTATTACTGTACTTTTCAAGAAAAATTAGTACTTAATGTAGTACTTGAAATTAGCATACTTATATCGTTGCAATCATTCAGTTTAAATCTGGTTTGTTGTTTCCTTCGGTTTTCTGGCATGAATAGTGAATGCATGGTAAGTCGGTTGATAAGTACCGAGTGCGTTTTTGTTGTTGTTTTTAGTTTTATCAGCTCAATGGTGAAAGATTAGTAAGAAGTCGGTTCGGTTTACTAATTTTTTCCGTTTTGCGTGTTGCCATCTGACTTACTCTGTTAATGTTATTTTACATCACTTAATTATTAAGTTTCTATTTAATATAATTGATTGTAAATATAATAAATGAAATTTGTTATGTATGTCGAAGAAAGCCATTGTTAAAAAATGTAGTTATTGTATATATTTAGTTATAAGTAGACACACTTATTAGTTGGAGACATTTTTAAAAAAAACTAGCTTTTATTTAGTAAAATCCAGGTTAGCATGCTTTTCTCAGAGTATATCTTATTATTTTTGTAAATTAGATGTGTTTATAAAAACCCTAGATTAAATATATAAATAATAAAATGTAACCAAACATAATTACTTAAAAGAAATAGCAATACTACTAAACGTAAAATTACCATCACATTTCAGTAACATAGTATGTTCATTCTTGAAATATTTTAATTGAATGACTTTTTCTCTTCTAAATCAATTCTTAATTTTTGGTGTTGAAGTTTGGTGGCGTAAATCACACTAGAATTAAAATTCGCACTCTGTCGGTTCTTTGTTATATGATATTATAATTTCATTATGGATTTTTTTTTTTTACTTTGAGACTGTGTATTTGTCTGTAAATTTATTCAAAACGATTATTTCATAATGTATGCCTTCAGTGAAATTTATTGGAGATGTATGCAAGGGGTAGTTGGTTAAGATGTACACAAATGTTAACAATGTGATCGTTATTGGCCTTAAACAGAGTAATAGAAATATTAATAAAGTTATATTAAATGTTGTGTAGACCATAAGTATAGAAAAAGGCTTGCTCATTGCTTTTGTACAAAAGAAAAAAAACAATTATTATTCTAAAGTTGTGAAATCGAAAGCCTTAAGATAATTATATTCAATTGTTAATTTTATAAAGTATTGTTGAAAATTTGTTTATGAATTTTGCTACGAGGAAAATGTCATTGTAGTTTGTAGGTTTGAAAGCCTTTGTGCTCTTAATAGCTCCTCATAGTTTCTGAATACGTCCAATGAATAGAAGTAACGAAATTGTAATTAAATGTCAAAACTAGATTTGTTTTCTTAATTTTATTCTTTTAACATTTAGTTTATGGTTACATAATTGAAAATATCCTAATGATTGTTAATAAAATTTGTTTGTACAAATTTTAAAAAATGTACACTATTATGTAACATACATTTGTATAATTTGTATTTAACATTGTAGATCTAATATATTTATTCTTAAATAACATCATTTATTGATTCCTTTCTCTAAAGTTTTCAAGTCAGTAAATACATTGATGGACAAATATAAAGCACCCAAGCAATTAAAAAAAAAAAAAAAAAAATTAAATCCATTATATGTCTACATTAGTTACAGGTAATTAGGAGCTATCTTAGTCAAAATAAACAGAAAAAATACTTTGTTTACTTCTGTACTGATTAATCCATTTACACAAAAAGTAGCAACACACCCTTCCATTCCGCTACGCCTAAAGATTGCTTTCAGTTTATCTTTTTCCTCCGTTAATTTCATTTGATATTATTCTTAAACTTTTTTCAATGGCTCCAGTCAAGCTCTACAAAATCGCAGCATTTCAGGAAATAGAAAGATAAGAAATCTGACAAAACCAGTCTGAAATGTTTCGATTTCCTCTAGGACTGAAAGATGAAGGATCAATGAAAATAAACCCAGGGTCCTGCACCTGACTTGTGGACCTGTTACCCAGCTCAGAAAATGGCCAGACTTCACACAGGAACATGCGAATTGGACATTGGAAGATTGGGGCCAAGTTATCTTTACAGGTGAGGTGAGAGTTGGCTTCACATCTTGATATGGGTATAATTTCATATGGAGATGATTGGGAGTCCCTATGCTGTATGGTTCCTCAGGTGATGACCGTTCCAAGTAGTCGTCAATGATCCTAGCTATGTGGGCCATGGCTGTATTATGCATAAAAATAAAACCGTCACCAATTACCTAGCCTATAAGCCACAACTTCTGATAGCACATCTTCAATGTATCGCCCAGCTGTTAGGGAACTCTCGACGAAGATCAAATTTGTGCGATCTTCCATAGAAATGACTGCTACCATAACACTACTTCTCCAAGGTTTCTCCGGAGTGAAAAAAATGTTGCAGGGATATATCGCTCTTCTGTTCTTTTCCAAACCCTCCGTCGGCCTTCAGAAGACCTCAAACAAAACCTTGACTCATTCGAGAACAAGATTTTAGCCCAATCTTGCTCAGACCAATTGATGTGATTTCTTGCGAAACCTAACCGAGCGGTTCTGTCCCTTGTGAGGAGGACCAGTGGCAGGATTCAGCAGCGGTAGAATGTCGATTACGGAGTACATTTGAATCAATAAAACTATCAACTCTCTGAGATGTGACAGGATGGCTGATCCATGCCTTTTTGTGTTACCTACAGTTTCTTTGTAGCGATGGAATAATGTTAAGCACCCTGGCGACATACGCTTGACTTCTTCCATCTTCCAATAATGCTATGATTTATTTTTGAATCAGTATCACTTAAAACCATCTCTCAAACAAATTTGAAATGAAGCTTTACTGAAAAACCAATAAAGAAGAGGACTATTCAAAGATTTATTTACAAATAGAATCGTAAACACAAATGGGAGATTTTATTTGTTTAATTACCTCTAATCGTTTAAAATGGATCAAATATTGATGTGAAACATTGGAACATTGACTAAGAGATAGTTAAAAGTATTAAGGGTGGCCATTTCTTTTGCCTTTCAGTGTATATAACTAATCAAATAGAGGGTTGATAGGACACTCAATATTCCATCATTGGCTCTCTCACACTACACATTCATGCTTATAAATACAAAAAATACACTACATGTACCACGCTTTAAATCTATCATAACAAAACTTTATAAAGAAGATTTCTATCGAAACTCGGATAGGAACCAAAAACTTGCATCTGCGCTCAAGCATAATTATTATTTCAGATGGTATGCTAAAATTCGAAGATATACTATTTGCTACCACTGCTGCAAGTTTTGCTTGATATGTTATTAAAACAGTAATGTACTTTTGCTGTATTATTAATATTAATTGCTGTATTAATTTGTGAGAGTTCTCGGTGGCCGAGTGTTTAGGACGTCATATTGCAACGCTAGCAGGCATGAGTTCGAGTCCCACTGTAAACCATGGATTTTTAATGTATAATAGTACAAAATATAGTAAAGTGGTTCGATCGCAAACCACGTGAACACAATTTTAACATTAAGTCTTCCTCTACGACATGAATTACTTTGATTTTTTGGCAGTTGTTGGGGACTCGTTATATTACATATACATGGTGGTTCTGGGGTGGCAATTTCTTTGGACGCCCACTTTGAATCGGTTGTTGTGCGAGGAAATTCTCTAACATCACAGAGGTACTTACTAGACAATCAAAGAACATGTAGTGCCATTTACCCCCACATCGGTGAGATAATCTTGCTCATGCAGGTTATAATGCCAGGCCCATAGAGTATGTATTGTGGCTGACTACCTGCTTGAGGTTGGAATTGAGCTGGAATCCAATCAAAAACATTTGGGACTAACACAATGAGTACGATGGCGAAACCCAGGTCCTCACACCCTAGAAGAGTTCGAAACGTCTGCTCTTGATGAATGGGGAAAAATTCCTTAGTATTTTATCAGAAATAATTTCCAGGGAATGTAAAGGCGTTTAACGGGCATGATTCATGCCAGAGCTGGAAACACTTGGTATACATTAAAATTTGAGGGTGGTGCGTTGATTTTGTCCATCAGTGTAGTATAATTGGTAGTACCTATTATTATTGGTGCTATTATTATTTAAAAAAATCTTTTACTTTCAATTTTGGGTTTTGGGTTCTTTCTTTGTGGTGGGTTTTTATTTGTATTTTCCCCATGAGCTGAATCAGTTTTGTTTAGTTTAGTGTTCTTTTTTTTAAATTATACTTTAGTGAACATAGTTGTTTAAATTGAAATCACACTCATTTATACAGATGAACATAAACAATTTATTACAAATGGTATTAAATATCTATCTGTCGTCAAATCAAGATTTGTTTGTTTCATAACAAGTCAGAATAGAAAATTAATGTACGTGAAGAAAGAAGGGCGAATCTACCATTTAGCACACAAGCGTCCGGTGTTTGAAAAAAATCGCCTCATTATGTGGGCATGTCGGTAAATTTTACGAGTTCACAATCCAAAAACATATACATGATTCAATGTTTATCATTAAAGTTCAGTAATATCCGAATGCGAAGCGTTAGTTTGGTTTGGTTATCCTCGAAGGATGAAAATACCAAAGAACAAATTTCTTTTTAGAAGGGCGCTTGAGTAGATTATGATCCCTCATGACGGATCGGTCGGGCGGGTCTAACATAGCGAAGCGCCGTATTGTCGATTACTCCACTTAAACTGATCAAAAATTAGTCCTAATTTTGTAGTATTTACTTTCCCTAGCATGTTTATTTTATTTTTATTATAAATTGCATTAAAATTTATTAGAAATTATTGTTTTTTACTGAAGGACAATTTAATTAAGGGATTTTGAAAAATAAAAAAAGGTTTTTTAATTTTTTTATTATTTTTTTTATTAATTAAATTTATTTTATAAAACTGGTCTTATCAGACCAACCATTAATTTTACAATAATATTATAGGACAAATAAATGTTTACATTCTTATAAACCGATTGGTACAATAAGATTTACTACAATTAATTAAGGTTTTTAGTTGAGATAAAAAAGTCAATGGCACCAGTGGGATTCGAACCCACGATCTTCAGCTTGATACGCCGCTGCTCTACCACTTGAGCTATCGTGACCTCGATCCACTCGGACACCAACTTCCCATCTCAACCGCACCTNGTGCCAGACCTTGTCAAAAGCTTGTGAGACATCAAGGAAGATAGCACGACAAATTTGTTTTTCTTCAAGAGATTTTTCTATTACGTCCGTTACTCGGTGATTTTGATCTATTGTTGAATGTCTGTTCGGAATCCAAATTGGTGGTCAGGAATGATTTTCTTTTTTTCTACAATGGGTTTTATTCATTTTAATAATAACTTTTTGAAGAGTTTAGACACTGTCGGTAGTAGCGATATTGGTCTATATGATTTGACTTAAAAGGTTTTAATTCCAAAATTTTCTTTATTGGACACAATAATAATTTTTTAATATAACAAATAATTTTTTTCAATAATTAATACCGTGTATAATGTTCTATGTTGGCTAAAACCTCTGTACACCTGTTAGGCACATTGTTAATAACGTTGTCACTAATTTCATAAGAAATTTCACTCCATAGATGTTGCAAAGCTGCTCTCAGTTGTTGCAAGACAACTTGCAGCAGATGGTGATCGATAAGCCTTCTCTGCACGCATTCTGCATTTGCTCAATGGGATCGAGAACAGGAGACAATGGGGGAAGGAGCAGATGGGAAATTCCCAGGTTTTCTAAAAATTGATGGACAACTCTCCCTCTGTGAGGTCTGGCATTGTCATCCAGAAATCGAAAATCTCATTGCACGAGACTAAATATGATCTAAGATATCTAGAAGTTTTGATTTCTTAGAGTTATAAAATCTAAATAAAATACTTTTAATGGATTACGAGCGATTTATCACAGCCTTGGGTATTTTGTGTTTTTCTTCAATCATGTGTTCTGAAATAATGTTTTTTAACAATTAATCTGTCAAAATTTTCTGTGTCATTTTCAATGTATACACACTTCAGGCATTGGTAAGATTTCGTTAATATTTTTCCAACAGTCATACAATAGATACGAATATTGTCTCGGTTACCTTAGGAAATGGAGACAAATCGTTGAGATTTTATGGCGTGCAAGAAAGTGTTTTCCATGTAATAGGGTGTTGACCTTCTTCCCAGTACCTAGTCAAAAGGGAAAAATTGCTTGGGCGAGTGAGAGATGATCTGAACAGAACGAGGCATTAAATTATTCTGAGTTCAAAATTTCAAATAGAATAAGTGTTTTAGAAACTGACATTATTTTTCTTTTTCAGGTGCTTCATTTGAGTTCAAAATGACCCAAAAGACAAATAATGTCGGTTTTGAGCCTAATTTTGGACTACCAATATTTTTTGATCAAACAAATAACACAGATGTCCCAGAACGAAACCAGGGCGATGTGGAAGTAGAGAGGTTTAATTACATTTGTTTAAAAGCAGTTCTTTTGTATTGCTAAAGAAAATTTGCCTTTCATCATGTTTATCCAAAATTAATAATATAAGTTTTAATGAGGGCTATTAGAATAAAATTTTAAAAATTTGTCTTTTACAGAACAGTAAGAGTACAGCCTTTGAATCTGCAAAGGCTTTCAGAACTAGCAGGCATTGATCTGGAACAATGTCCAGTATTGAAATTTATTGGTGGCTGTGAGCAATACTGTTCTAAGAAGACGCCTGTCTACATTCTGCCTCAAAACAAAACAAATTCAGTTTCTCATCACGAATCGCCGATTCTTGGACAAGGATTAAAAAAAATGTTTACCAATTCACGACCAAATGCCAAAAGGGAAGAGGAATTAATAAAGGAAATAGAAAGAGTACAAAATCGGCTTGATAGTGTAACAGAACAACTCCAGAACTCGAAAGCTGAAAGGGAAAAGCTGGAGTGGAAGATCAATGAAGTTCAGATGAAAATTAAAAAGGAAAGTGAAAATCTAGGTCTTACTTTTTCTGAGAATCCTTCAGAAGATGAGGTATAAATATTCTTTAGTCAGGATTACACAAAAAATGATTTTTAAAAATAATAGTTATTTTAAACAAAATAAAATTAAACTACTTATTTGACCTTATTTTTTGTCCATCTCAAACAGATTTCAATACTTCATAGTTAAATAGATTTTGTGTATCATATACAATTTTAATTATTTATATTATAATAGGAAATAAATGTTTGTAATTTGTTTTTGTTTATTCACAAAAGATTTGTAAAATTATGATTTGTAGATAAGAGTTGATTTAATAAAATTAAACAATTAACATATAATGCAATTTTAAATGTATAAAATAACCTAATAAAAATTTGTTTTTAAAGCTTCTCCATTTAGAAAAATTAACGGAATTGGCAAAGGAAAAAGTGAGGCGAAACAGGATGTTGAAAGTTTTTCAACAAAAGGAGAATTTACTTTTGTCGACCATGGGGAGTGCACGATTGCCGGAATTCGATTCAGTACCATCTCTCCATAATAACCCAGTCATCCAGCCAGCCTTAGATATCAATTCCATAGAACTGTTGAAATCCTTTGGCGCAGCATTATCCACTTCCTTAAGAAATAACCCTACAGCAGCTTTCCTACAGGAGTAACCTGAAGACACAATAAAACCAATTTAAACCTGTAATTTGTTAAAAATATATTTACTTTTAATCAAACTTTCACAAATGGCAATGCTAAAAGAAATATACTGCAGGAAAGAAATTTAAATTAAATCAGCGCATATTTTGAAGATGATTTACATTAAATTATGGGTATATGTGTGTAAATCACGTTTAGGGAATGAAATCTTTCATTATTTATTCTGTTTTAGGTTCAATAACAGCTATTATTAATTTGTCTTTTAGAATTTTGTTGAGGAACCCATTATCATTGAACATCAAGGGTTTAATTTTATTACTCAATGACTTACTTGGACAATAAACATTAATTGTTAGGTCAAATCCTAGAAATTGTTTTGAAAGTAAATGAAATAGATTTTTTTGATGCTAGATTTTATGTATTTATTATTTATTTAAATGACAATAAATGGTGCAATTTCATAGCTGTAGAACATGATCGAAGGAAAATAAAATTCTAAAAATGTTTCTTAGGATTCATGACCTTGTTTTATTAAAAAAACGATGATTTTGAGTCAAGAGGCTCTTACTGTTTTAAATTTATTTATATATATTGTATTGCTATTTTACCTGGCATTTGTTGATTAATAAAAGAAAAAAGTTCAAAAGCATGAAATGCTCTAATGAAGCAAAGAGTTGATGTGAAATTAGATTTAAATTGCTGCTTTAAAGTGAAAAAAAGTAAAGCAGGGAGACCTGTTCTCACACTCTTTAATGGTGTAGTGGCGGTTGTTTTCAAGATTCTAGAACAATTCTGTTTTTGAATTAGAGTGACATGGGGCTTGAGAAATTATTATAACCATCCCACATTTTCAGTGAAGTCAGGACAATTTTAAATAACATTGAAGGGACTAGAAAAAACACAAGAAAAGCAGGGTTAAATGTCAATATTTATAAATCGCCATTTTTACAACTAGAGACATAATATATTCAAAGAGAGAAATGAAGGGAAAGTTTACTGGTTGATGGACAAAACCTTGGGTATATGATGTGTTTTTAAGGTCTATTAAAGTCTTGGTCCTCAACTTTGATCTCGTACACAGATCCCCTACATCTGAGCACCAACATGGTTGGATGCTCCTTTTTGCATGGCTGATCTGACCAATGTGCCTGCTGGATTAAAAAAAAATAAGTCGTCAGAATACCAGATATAGTCATTTACGATTTCTATAAGTTGCGCCAAAACACTTTTTTGGATAGTCTCCATGCCCTTTTTAATTTCATTTTTGATACAATACTACTGTTCCACCTTCATTTGGACAGACCCAAATTTATCCATTATTTAAGAATGGTGAAGTTGACAAGTGTACTAACTATCGAGGCATTTCTTGTATTGATCGTATGGCCAAGATATTTTCTACGCTCCACCTTAATCGTATGGAGAGCTTTTTCTCTGGGAAGAAATTTTTTTTTTTAATGTGACAAACGGAATTTAACCTTTTCACTCAATATTGTTAAGAAGTATTGGAAGAAATTGTTAAGTGAGATTCAGATGGGTTTTCGTAAAGGTTATTCTACAATGGATAATGTTACAATTATATTTGTTCCCGCTAACATAATTTACTTAAAGACAGAGGAAGAAACAAAAGGTATACTGCATCTGGATTTTGAAGCACCCTTTGACTCAATTATCGTAGTGCATTGATTCTAAAATTGAGCAATTTTGGCTTTTCATCAAGGATTTTAAATGTTCTTAGAGCTGTTTTGAGGTCATTGGTTTCACTGACATCCACCAGGGCTTCCATGCAGTTCCAAACACTTTCTGCTTTCACCTCGCATGAGGCTAGGACCTTTAGTGCTAACTGACTGTCAGAGAAGATGCTTGCTTCCTGGAATATTAGTAGCATTTCTAGCCTTTTTATTTCCCTGACTCAGCGTTCAATTGATATGATTTCAGATTGGAAAACTGTAGCCTATTTACCTAAGTTTAGAGTCAGTTCAGTCTTTGGATCCATCCTGAAGATTGGTATCCTTATACTTTTTAGTATAGTTGTATTTTGGTGTAGTGGCATCGATTGGCATGCCTAATACAGCATGTGCCTGTATCTGCTCCCTCAGTTTCTATTGTTTATTTACATGGCCTGTCAGATGGTTGTCCATTTATGAGCCTGTGGACTGCTGCTCTGGCTTCTCCTTGGATTAAAATATGAAGTGGTGGGAGGTTTAATAACATTTACAAGATTGCAGTTGGCATCGAGCTCATGACTCCAGTTATACTGAGACAAGCTTGTATTTAGGTGCCACTTAATAGTCTAATTGCTTTGGCCTGCAGAGTCTCGGTCCTCCACACCACCAACCCATGTCAGCGTTTGTTTTAAGACACAGGTGTGTAGCCATAGGGTCATTTGATTCAATCCCCAGTTTACATACTCAGGTCTGACACATCCCACAGTTATCTTTTATAACTCCTATCTAGTGAAGAAGGTTCCCATTGCTAAGTCAGCAGTTAATCCAACTTGATTAGGTCTTCTAAAACAGTTTTCTCCGCCTAGCTTTACCCGAACTACATGCTTCACTAGAGACTTTAGTGGATTGATTTTTGTTTTTACTATGAAAATTCATTTTCCTTTTTTAGAAAAGTGCTAGAAATCTTACATTATTTTACTCTGTTGTATTTGAAAATAGAAGTTTTCTCTTCCACCTCTTTTTTTCCGTTTGTTACGACACATTTTATGTTTGTCTTTCGGTTGTTTCAGTAAACAAGCTAAGTTAAAGTCGCCCTTTATCATTTTTCCCATCAATTTCTGTATAGTTAATTTTTTTTTTTTTTTTTTAATTTCTGTATAGTTAATTCTTTTTTTTTTTTTTTTGTATACGTATTTATTTCCCCCTCAATTTATCCCTCATTTCAATTTATTATTTACTTAAATTCACTAATTTCGTGGTCCGCTTGACCAATTAATATATTACAATTAATTAAGGTTTTTAGTTGAGATAAAAAATAGCAAAAAGGAGGGAAAACTCAAAAGGTGGGGTTGAGATGGGAAGTTGGTGTCCGAGTGGATCGAAGTCACGATAGCTCAAGTGGTAGAGCAGCGGCGTATCTAACCGAAGATCGTGGGTTCGAATCCCGCTCGTGCCATTGACTTTTTTATCTCAACTAAAAACCTTAATTAATTGTAATTTATTATTTACCTTAATATTTTGTTTATTTTTCATTATAGTTATATTATAGTTTCATTATAGTCTAGAAAAATTTTTTACGCCGTTCTTCGGTTTTCAAACATGCTGCTGCAATGAGTGCTATATTTTATTTACTAAATATTGTAAAAAGGAAAATATAACATTTTTATCTACCTATCTATCAGTCGACAAATCTTACTCTCCATTGTAAATGCTTGTTATATTTTTAAATTGGGAACAGGTGAAAAGTCATTTCTTAAGTCAATAAAATACGTTAATATCGTACACACGCGATTACCGGCCCCTTCGTGAACGTTATTATTGAATAATTTCTAAAGGTAAAATAGGATAGTTGTTCGGACGCAAACATATAAATTTAGTCTAATGGCTAGTTAATTCTTAGTTGAACTTAATAAAGACAGACCACAACGTTTGAGGACGGGGTGAAGCTCATTAACAAAGCCTAAAAGCGGGTAATCAATTAGACTTGACAAATGTTATTCTATTTCAGTAAATTCTGTTATTTCTGTATTACTGGATTCTCCTCATCGCATTATCACATAATTAAAATAAATAATCTAGTTTTTTTTAGCACTTTTACTTACATTGTATTTTACAGCGAATTTAATGCGATTTGTTTCAAATGTAACATAGGACGAGAAATCGGTTTGATCTGAAAAATAGAGATAGTTCTACCAAATTGTGGCAGGTTAAGAAAGACGTAGGTTCCAGGTCCACGAGAACGGGCCGCAAAGGGAGTCCTTGGTGACAAGACTTCGCATAGGTCATACAAGAATAATACACAGGCACTTTCCGGCAGAAAAGCGACCGCGTTATGCAAGGATAGAACAACAGTCGAATAGAAGGTTTGACATATGTAGGTAATATTTTGGCATATCGTCAGACCTGTGCTAGGCTTGGGGCACAGATCGCTGTTCCGGTACCTCAGGTTTTTTGAATGTATATAGTGTTTGTATGTGTGTTTGTTATGCTTGAATTATATTTATGCTAATTTATTGGAATGAATATAATTTATTAGCGTGAAGGAAGCGACAAATGAAATGGCCACGGAGAGCTTTAGTGAAGTATACTTTATTTAATTCACTAAATTCACTAATTTCGTGGTCCGATTGACCAATTAATATATTAAAATTAATTAAGGTTTTTAGTCGAGATAAATCGATTCATTTGTCGCCGAGAATCCAATCCGATTACACGACATTTGAAAAATGGCAAAAAGGAGGGAAAATTCAAAAGGTGCGGTTGAGATTGGAAGTTAATATCCGAGCGGATCGAGGTCACGATAGCTCAAGTGGTAGAGCAGCGGCGTATCTAGCCGAAGATCGTGGGTTCGAATCCCGCTAGTGCCATTCACTTTTTTATCTCGACTAAAAACCTTAATTAATTGTAATATATTAATTGATCAAGCGGACCACAAAATTAGTGAATACAAAACAATTACTACAAAAACTACTGAACTAGTGAATTTATTTTTAAACTGTATTTAACTTATACATGTTTATATAAAAACCCAACATAATTTTTATAAGTCCCTGTGAATAAAAAATCAATAAAGGATTAATCGTGAAACTTAAAATTATTTTTAAAACATGGAAATTGGAGAACGTGTTACTCATGGAAAAAATAAAAAAATGTACCCATATTGTTGTGGGAAACAGATGTTTTCTGGACTGCAAGGGGCAAAACCAGGGCAAAACAGGGAGTCATTTTATTGTGAACACCCCCTATTTTTTTTCCGATTTGACTGGGGGCAAACCAAAATGCACACTCAAGGATTAAAAAGCCATCATTTCCAAATTTCTTGTTTTACCTATCACATGGCGTTTATTAAAATTTGTTTAAAAACAAATTAATAGTCAATTCT